CCCTCTTCATCGAGAATGTCTTTGCCAAGGCCCACGCCGGGGTTTCGTCGAGGACACCCACCGCCGGCCGTTGGCTCGGGCCACCAGCAACCGCCAGTGCCGGCCAGCGTTCCGGCAACCATACCGGTGGCTAAAACCGGCCACAACTCCCCGCCGGCGAGCCAAAACTCCCTTTCCAATCAACCAGCTTTAAGCCCCAAAGATAGAAACTAAGCCTAAATAAACAGGCATACACGTACAAACCAAGGCCTAGAATACTGAAACAGTGGGACTCCAATCCAAGGAAATACCGGAAGCAAATAGCGGCTCCAATTTGTACGCTCATCCATGGCCGATGTGGGCAAACGATGGAGTGTGTCATGAAAATCGAAGGAAAGCACAAAGTTAGTCACTATTCAGCATACATGGGCACTAATAGAGCATGAAAAACCGAGTTCTAAGCATCAGTGCGGTAAAAGGCCATTCTGGTCTCCATTTAGGCATTTCGTGGAACATGTGAGGGGCATTTGAAAAACGGGATCACAGATCCAATTTTGACAAAGTTTACAGTTGATTTTTGACATATAACATCTATAACATCTTCACTGGGTGTCAAACAAATGTTTGCCTCGGTCGACGGGGTCGGGTGACCACTGAATAGGCTCGGTGTGCCCGGCACCCCAGAGGCAGGGGAAGCAAAAACAGGGGAAGAAAAGGATGTAAAACCCACCTGGTTCGGGGCTGACTGAAGAGAGGCGAGACAACTGGGGGCTCGGTGGCGGCTCAGGCGATGTTCCGGCAAGTGGGTGAGAGTCGGATCTCTCCGATTCCCCTCAACTCTCAGTCTCCTCTTTCTCCCCTCTAACTCTCTCTCTCTATTCTTGGCTCGCCAACACCAAACGCGATGGCCGGGGCGATGGACGTCCGGCGACGGTGACGGCTCACTGGGAGGGGGAAGAGATTTGCCGGCGACCCTCCTGAGGAGGAACTGGAGCGCTCTCCTCTTAGACCCCTCCCTTTCTCTCCTCTCAAAAGCTCTTTCGAACGCTCTCTATTCTCTCCCTTCTCTCTCTGATTCCTCCCCCTTTCGAATCCCTGTTCTTTCTCTCCTTTTATCCCCGATCGAGACCTCTCTTTTGGGACCACTGGCCACCTGATCCCTACCCCCCTTCGACACGCGATGATGCTCCCCTACTGCCGGGCAAATGCCTCTGCTGCCTATCGGCGTCGCTCTGCTCTCTGGCTTTGTTGTCCCTGGTCCCCCTCCTCGCCGAGAATGACAGAAAGGGGGGAAAAGAAAGACTTGCGGGCCAGGCCGAAGGGAAAGAAAAATGGGTTGGCCTACGCAAGAAGGGAAAAAGGGAAAAAGGACTGGGCCGAGCTAATCCGGCCCAGTCGAACCTGGTCGGATCGGCCCGAAATTTTTTTTTTTGAAATTTTTTTAATAAGAAAAATATGTCTAGTAGACCCCATTAATGCAAATGCACCTAATGTCTATATGCCATGCAATTTTATTTTATTTAGATATATTAAAAATTAACCCCTAATTTATATGTAATTAAACTAAAACGGATAAGGAAAAATTAGGTGTCAAAAATTGCGTTCCATCCATATGCAATAGATAGTCGCTAAGAAATATAGCTTGAGGAGTCTCGCCCCAAATTTTTTGCCCTTAGTGACCCTGATCATCCATTGAAGTTCTAAATTCCAACCTCCTGCAGTTTGTGCTAGAATACTACGCCATACGCTGCTTGTTCAAGTGCACTCAAAGAATAAGTGGTTTCTGTCTTCTATATCAGTCATACAAAAATTACACTTACGCTCCGTTCGTTTGGCGAAAAATATTCTCCTTTTGGAAAATATTTTCCCGAAAGTCATTTTCCCGGAACATAATTTTTCGGTGTTCGGTGATCAATATGAAAAAGTTTCGGAAATATTTTTCGCCGGCGGAAGCTGCGACTGGCGGCGGCGGGCCACCGGCGGGCGGCGGCGGCGGGCGATCGGCGACGGCCGGCGACCTTACTGAAGAAGAAGAAGAAGAAGCTCCGGAAAATGATTTCCGCTTTTGAAGAAGCGGAAGCGGAAATCATTTTCCATAGACTTAGGCTATTTTGTGAGGGGGGAAGGAAAATATTTTCCCACGGAAAACGTTTTCCGCCCCCCGAACACCGGAAAACCCGAAAAATATTTTCCGGAAGAATATTTTCCGCCAAACGAACGGAGCCTTAGTATCAACTGAAGACAACCATCTTTCTATGGCTATTGCTGTCGGTAGCCTATCTCTACAAATAAGCTAGCCAATAAAATTATGCTTACTAATACCACTGGTCCAAATTAATTAATACCATTCCACGGCCAGTCCCTCCTGTCTGAATTCCTTGTATATCTATTTGCAACAGTATGTTTGGCTAGAGATAATAGGTGTTAGAGCAAGTCTTAGCTTGAGAATACACCAAGCCATGCTGTCCTTTTATGTTGAGTTGCATAATAGGAGTGCCTCTACATTTAATGTCATGAACCCAAGTACTCCATAGGGATGAGTGCAGATGATTGATGAGGCTCCAAAGCATGCGGCCCAGCAATACTTTATTCCAGAGTTTCAGATCGAGCAGGCCTAGTCCTCCCTCCTTTTTTGGTGAGCATACTACTTTCCGTGCAACTTTGTGGGATCTGTGAGTTTTAGCATTTCCTACCCATAAGAACTGCCTAATCTTCTTTTCAGTCTCATATATAGTTTGCTTTGGGTGGAGAAACATTTGCATCCAGTAAGTGCAAATGGAAAAAAGTACCGATTTGGCCAATTGAAGTCTTCCTACATAGCTAATATGATACATTCCCCACCCATCTATTTTCTGGAATATCTTTTCTGTTAGACCCTTGCAATCCGCATGTGTGAGCCTTTACGTAACAAGTGGGACACCGAGGTATCTGATGGGCAGGGTGCCCGTGGAGAAAGGCATGTGATCCTATATAAGGAGCTTTTCATCTTCAGACAACCCAGAGAAAAAGATATGAAATTTGTCTGGGTTAAACCTAAGTCCTGTAAGAGCCGTAAAATCATCAAGTGCGTCAACAAGGCAAAGGACGGAGTTCACATCCCCATGGGCAAATAAGAACAGGTCATCAGCAAAGCATAAATGAGTAATCCTTTGCGATTTGCAATGCCAATGGAACTTAGAAGATGAAGTAGCAATTTTCCCCGTGATAATTCTATTAAGGATTTCCATAACCAGAACAAAGAGGTAGGGATAGAGGGGTCGCCTTGTTGTAGCCCGTTAGTGCTAGTAAAATACCCAATTTGTTCACCGTTGAAGTTAAGTGAGAACCTTGGGTTAGTAATGCATTGATTTATAAGATCAATCCAGTATTGAGGGGTATTAACCGCTTTCAGAACCCCAAGAACAACATCCCATTTTACCATATCATAAGCCTTCATGAGATCGATTTTGATTGCCACCAATTTGCCTTTATTGCCTTTATGGTAGTCATGCAAAAGTTCCTGGCATAAAGAATATTCTCTGAAATCCATCTTTCCTTAATGAAAGTAGTTTGGTTGAGGCCAACAATCGAGGGGAGAATACAAGCTATTCTTTCTACAAGTAGCTTTGATACGATTTTATAGATAACGTTGCAGCATGAAATGGGTCTGTACTCCTTAAGGCAGCATGAATTTGAAACCTTCGGTACAAGAGAGATCAGTGTGGAATTTATCAATTTCAACATTCTCCTTGAAGAGAAGAATTCCATGATAGCATCTTCAATGTCATGTCCTATGATGGGCCAATCTTTTTTGTAGAATAAGTTGTTATACCCATCTGGACCGGGAGCTTTATAATTGTTGAAACCCTTGATGACTCCGTGAATATCTGCTCTTTGAATAAACGATGTATTGACTAGAGCACTAACATCTTCATGAAATAAATATGCGAGCCTGTCATACGGGATGCGACTATGACCGGAGTTTCCAAGTAAGTGGTGGTAATAGTTCGAAGGACTATTGTTTGACACTTTAGTTTCACTCAAAATCTTTCCACTAAGTTTCATCTTTGTTTTTTCCTATTTCTTTTGCAAACCACCAAGTTCATTCATAAAAAACTTGCTATGTATAACTAACCATACCTATTTCTCCTAGATTTTTAGGTACACTCCTAATTTTACATATTTCATTGATCATCTAATAGCTAATCTGAATGAGGAAGATGAAAACAATGTAAGGTCAAACAGAGCTTTTAGCACAAAAAAAGACAATAAATAAAATTAAGAAAGAAAAAAGAGACGAAGCATCTAACTCAAAATATATCATCTTCATGAGCACCCTATATATGATTTAGGTGTTTATCGCAAATTTGCGTGTTAGGTGCACTGAATGCGCAATATTATTTCAAAGCTAAGTTAACTTGGGTTGAACTTATCTAGTCGAACTTATTATCATAATTGAGCGAGCCGAAGTTGGAAGATGTCCTCTATTGGTAAGTTAATGCACAACAAACTTAGAAACAAACCATGAACAGTGCTGGATCGTAGGAAACTTGCATAGAATATTTTCGTGGGGGTCACGAAAAGAAATCTCACGTGCATCCCTTGTCGTTTCTACCTAACCATTGCCCATAAGATCGCAAACTTATAATTAGCGGATCACATTATTCCACGTCACATACGATTACTTAAGACGATAATTTAGATATTATTCCTTATAAGGATTTAACTCCTCTAAATTGAATTCCTCCACAAAGTTGGAAAAAATGTATGTCCTTAGAGGCCACATTTATCTCTCATCTCTTCCTTCAAAGTGGGAATATAATTCTATTGAGTTAACCTCTCTAAGGTAAAATAGCTAGCCCTTTTTGTGGCTATAAGGTAAACACCAAGGTTCTAGGTGTTTGTAAGCAAAAAAAAAACGTGTGACCTCTATATATACAGCCTCCTTCGCAAGCTTCTGATATCTCTTTCAAACCCTTTGAAGAAAAAGATTGATAACTTCTTTGAGCAAACTTTGGTCTCTGCAGTTTCAACAATATCACATGGCTCAGCTCATGAAGTTGGTGTTTCCCAAGATGAGATCTTCATTTCCGACCACCAGTACGTCGTTTCTCTCATATCAATTTCTCTATCTACTAGTTCTTCTTTTATCTAATTAGTGATTGGAACGAGCAAAATCAACTCAGTGTTCTTACAAATCTTTTTGAGCAAACTGACGTTTTGAACTCTATATGTCCCGATCTGCTGAGTTTTGAATCCTCTTGTTTCTCTTGTGTTTCGTCACATATCCTACATGAAAAGCGGTTTTCATTAGTTGATAAGAACTTCCGGCTGGTTGCATTTTTATTTCCCGCCAAGAAAATGTTCTTTTTCTAATGGAGATAGGTGGTTTATAATTCATGGCCGTGCAAAATATCTTGAGAAAAGAATGGGCCTGATGAATTGAGTAGTGGCTACAAGATCTAAGAATTTAGGTTTTTTTTGTTGACAGGTGAGTCCCAGAAGGAACGTCTAAGCATGTCTAGCAAGTCGAGCAGCGTCAATCGAGAGTATACACAAGCTTTCAGGACCAAGTCCTACGTGGAAATGTGTACTAAAGTCCAATCCCAGATTGGGAGAACAAGCATCGGCAGATCGCTCTCGTTGCATCCTCTGTCCGCCAGTGCCTGTGGCGTGGCACACCTGTCAGAATCGCTCCTCGAGCCTGGGCCGGAAACCCTCGAAAACATGATCAAGACCTTGAATTTCCATCGTCTTCTTGTGGACTACTTCGAGGTGAGCTCAGACACATGTGATTTGTGCGAGTTACTCCTCCGGGGGATCCACCAGATCCGCACCAATTACCAAAGGATCAGAAGGGCAATCAAGTTGGCAAAACTGGTATTTGAAGACGCAGGTCATGCGGATGAGCAGAGCCGTCTGATATGCCGAGAACTGTCCGCATTTGCCTCGCTGACAAACCCTTTATTTGCGATCGCCCGAGTCCAGTTCCCAGGTATGCATGATAATTACATGGCATTGTTTCATGAGTTAACATCCAAACGCAAGCATATGCAGAGGAGAATGAAGCTGGCTAGGGCTTGCAAGAGGGTAGGAGGGCTCGGGCTGATTGTCTCCTCCACCGTGATCTCAACCACAGCGCTGGTGCTGGCAAGCTGCAGCACCGGGATGTCCGTTAGGTCATCATCATATCCAGAGAAAAGCTCATCGACCGAAGCAGTTTGCAAACAGCTTGACGTCACGGCGAAAGTGGTGTACATACTGACTAATGACATGGACACTGTAAGCAGGTTTGCTGGGAGATTGCACGATGAGGTCGAGCATGGCAGATCAAGGGCCGTGATGGTGGTCAGGAATTATGCGAAGAAGGGTGACATCGTGAGGGAGGTTGTGAATGAGGTTTTTGATGCGCACAATGCTCGTTTCTTGGAGCTGCTGGAGGAGCTTGAAGAGCATATTTACTTGTGCCTTCTCACCATGAACAGGTCAAGAGGGTTGGTTGTGGAAGAGATCTTGACCTCTCAGTTCATGAGCGATCAAAGTGGTTATTGATCAATTTATCTGACAATTAATTGCTTTTCTATTTGGATATTTTTGTGATAGCTGACAATGGCCCATGCCATTTGAGATGTTTCATGACAAGGGGCTTCGTTAGAAGCTTTTACTCTCTGCATATTTTTCAAATAAAACCTGTATTGACAGCTTAACCTTTGGACATCACTTTATGTGATCATGTTCAGTTGAATTTGCTTTTTCATCCCCTTCAGTTCACTTCTTTTCCCTTCATTATGATTCATGGGTTATTAGGTTATTGGCGCATTGCTCATAAGTTTCATAATTGCACGACATAATAAGGAAAATCAAGAGACCTTTGAGGACACTTGTATATCGACCTTTTAATGCTAATTTTTGTCATAACTTGGAGACATTAGGTCGAGAAATGCTCAACGTAATGAAAATTAATTTTCACTGAAAAACTTGATTTCTATATGGCAAGATGTTTTTTTTATGGTCAAAAAGAGCTTTTTTTTCATTCAAATAGGAAAACTAGTAGAACATAGACGACGAGTCTCTAAACATAACATATCCCAAAGGGGTTGGGGAGGCTTAGAAAACCAATTAGGAGGAAGTGTCCCTTTACGGTGGGCTTTTGTAATCCAATCTGCAAGTTGGTTTGCTTCTCGTGGGCAATGGACAACTATGACTCCTTTCATGTGTGCCAAGTAGCCATTACATTCCTCAGTGAGGTATTGCATGGTGCACATTGAACTTAAACCTAGGCAATCTTGTGAATTTCATTCAAATTAGGCTCTAAACGTTGAATTTTCAAATTTAGCGTGTTTGAGCTTTGGCCTATCTCTCTAAGGATTTAGTCACTCTCTCTCCCCCTTTTCCTAGCCAAAATTTGTATGTTCCATGCATGTGTCGTGCGCTTCTTCTAAAAGGACTTTTGGCTAAAGATTAAATGGACTTGTATTAGGAATAAGATTTCCAAACTTTATCAGTTAAAGTTTATTTAAAGGCCAAGCCTTGGTCGACCAAAGTGAAGAACATGCAAGAATATACTTGACCAAGACAAGATCATACTCGACCATGAGAAACGCACTTACACACGTGCATGTACACTCGGCCAAGGAGGGGACGATCGGCAAGAAGAGATCACACTTGGTTTCACTCGGTCACTCATAGTAGGAACTCAGTCATACGCGGCTAAACTCAACCACTCAAGATTAGAACTCAGCCAAACACGATCGCAAGATCAACCACTCACGGTCACTCAACTGGAGGTGAATTTTTGTTAAGAAAGTTCTTATGTTATTTGAAGATGACAAAATAATCAAACGCTATTGTTGTGTGTAGTGGATAAGTAGAGCCAGGCAATAGATATACATGCCAATATGTATATGGTGACTTAATAGGATTGGTCAAAAGATAGGAGTGCTCTGCCTCTACTAAGGATGAACAAAGTATTGGGCGTAGAAGAAGTTTAGAGATAGATGAACCCGAGTAGAAGGTGAACAAGCCATAGAAGGAGGTTGGGGAAGGCTTGGAGAGCCCTGAGCATAAGGAGAACAAGCCGTAAAACGAGGAGGTTGGGAAGGCTTGCATGGATTTGAGTAGAAGGTGAACAACTATGTAGAACCAAAGACGTCATTACGCTTGAAAAGACCAAGGAGTAGAAGGTGACCAATCAGTTTCAGTGTGAGATGTGAATAAACTAGAAGGACCGTGAGCAGAAGCAGCTCTTGCTATCAGACGGAGTAGAAGATGTGTTGCGTGTTCCTAATAATTTACTAGAGAAGAGGGCCCAGACCTCTTTTGAATTTGATTTGAATTCAAATCAATGTTTAACGGCTAGTTCCAAGTTCTGGAATTCGCAAATAGTGGACTGAGAATATCATAGCGGTTTTACCATAGTTGGACAGGTAACAGAGATGTTAGAATCTGAGCCGAAGCAGAACTTATTGTTTTGGGAAACTCTCTGTTAGATCAGCAGAGAGACGTTCTACTTTTATAGATGGCAAAATTAACTGCTACTCATGGGATTTGAGTTTCAAACGATCATTTGATGCTTGGAGTGTTCCTCTTCGTTTTCTTCTTGTGTGTAGAAGTTGTGGATTTCTGATCGTATTCTCCATAAGGGTTGCTTTTGTTTGTAATCTGGGAAGAGAGGGTATTATGATTTTATTAGAGGTGCTTGTGTTTGTAGAGTTATATACTGCAGCACGTTCCACTAACTATAACAACTTGAGATTACTAGCGTATTCCATTCTTATTTTGGTCTGTGAGAGTAGATGTAGATTTAAACCAAACCACTATATATCTATTTACAATATCTTATATCCCTTTAACTCTTTTATTATCAGTTTGCTAGAAGCTACTGCATCTACACAACTGTTTCTCATTTAGCCTAAGAGTATTTGCAAGCATTCTGCAAAAAAGTTTAAGTGTCTTTATAATAACCTATTTACCCCACTCAAGATTGTTGTGTTAGCCATAAAAAATTTTATCCATGAGGCCAACAATCCATCCTTGAAAGCTGGTCCTCACTCATGGATTTTGAAAGTAAAAGTTTGAACTTTTTTTACCAATCTTTTGATTAATCCAATTGCAAGAGCCTACTAATTGTTCGATGACTAAGACACTCCATCTACAAAATGCACTAGCATCTACACAACTGCTTTTCATTCAGCTTAAGTGTATTTGCAAGTTTTTCGCAAAAAAGTTAATAATAACCTATTTACCCCCACTCTGGATCGTTGTGTTAGCCCTAACAATTTTTTGATCCATGAGGCAAACGTTCCATCATTCAAAGCTGGTCCTCACTCATGGATTTTGAAAGTAAAAGTTTGAACTTTTTTTTTCCAATCTTTTGATTGATTCAATTGCAAGAGCCTACTAATTGTTCGTTGACTTGAACCAAGTGTCTATCCTGCCAAGTGTGTTCGCAACTTCAAACCAAGAACGCAGCACGATTCGTTGTTTGAGCACGTTCTTTTAAAAGAATAAATCCTCGGTGTTTGATCTCAATTTATGGTTAGTGTGCTTTGGATTGATATTATAATCTGCTTTATTTTTTTTTTTTTATCTTGATCACCTTGATTGTCATGCATTTAGATGCGGACTTTTAAATCTTATTTCGATTTAAGTCTAGTTTGAATTGTTTTGTTCGAGTTTGCATTCATACTTGTAATGATTTTGGTAACAATTAGCATAGATTTTCTTCATTTAAATAAGCTTCCTAGTTTAAGTTTGTTTGTCAATTTGAGTAGGTCTCCTAATTTGTACAGTTTCCTTTTTTCAGTAGGTTTCCTAATTTGATTATGCTTTCTAGTTTAAGTAGGTTTTCTTATTTGAATAGGCTTCCTAATTCGAGTAGCTTTCCTAATTTGAGTAGACTTCCTAAAGTAAGCAGGTTTCCTATTTTGAATAGGCTTCCTAATTTGGGTAGATTTCCTAGTTTAAATTGGTTTCCTAATTAGTGTAAAGTGCCAAGTTCAAGCAGGTTTCCTAACTTGATTAGGCTTCCCAATTAGAGTATGCTTACTAATTTGAATCGCTTGCCTGCTTTGAGTAGGTTTCCTAATTTGCGCAGATTTCCTAGTTTAAGTAGGTTTTCCAATTTGAATAGGCTTTTTAATTTAAATAGATTTTCTAAATTGAGTAGGTGCCCTAATTTTAATTGGCTTGTTTCCTAGTTTATATATGGTTCCCAATTTGAATAGGCTTGCTAGTTTAAGCAGATTTCATATTTTGAGAAGGTTTCCTACTTGAAGATTGTTTCCTAATTTGAGTAATCTTGAATACTAGACTAGAGTTGCCACCGAACAAGTTAGGAGAACCTAGATCGATTGGACACCCAAATGGCCTAGATAGTGATGGTAACGTCAACTAACTAGGTGCAAGTGTAAAGGAACTAGTCAAAAAAGGCTTGAGATCTTAGGTCCAAGGATACTATTACGCGTGGTACGGCTTAGAATAACGCTTTTTTAGTACCGTGGCTCCATTTTTTTTTTAAGTTGTAAAACATTCATCAGATTTCTTTTTTCAAACAAAGAGAAACCTTACAATGTCATCAAAACAATTATTCAACTTTGTACTGTTGATGAGGTTGTCTTCTCGTGTACAGTGGTGTGAATTGGTGTGTGTGAGATGCAAATGTCAATGTGACGAGCAAAAATAACATAACATGGCAGCAATAACATGTAGAAAGACAGAACAAGTTGGATGCGAAATAGGATGACAAAAAGACATGACATGGCAATAATCACAAGCATGACATGACAAGTTAGATACAAAATATGATGACGTGATGACATGATAATAATCACATGTGATGTGATATGAGAAATCAGATATTATACATAACAATGAGATGACATGATATGACAATAATCTATCACTACAAAAAAACTGGATTTTTGCCACGAAAATTTGCGACGAAAAAATTTTCGTTGCAAATTTGCGACAAATTTTCCAACGAAAAGTAAAATTCGTTGGAAATTTCCAACGAAAAATTTTTCGTCACAAATTTCGTTGGAAATTTTCAACAAATTTTGCGACGAATTCAAAAAAACCCGGTATTGTTCGGCATTTTTTATATTCGTTGGAAAATTCGTTGGAAATTTCCAACGAATTTTCTAACGAATTTCCATTTTCCGGGCCATTATTTCAGTGTTTACAATTTTTGTTGGAAAATTCGTTGGAAATTTCCAACGAATTTTCCAACGAATTACAAAAAAACCAGTTACTGTTCGGCATTTTTTATATTCGTTGGAAAATTCGTTGGAAATTTCCAACAAATTTTCCAACGAATTTCAATTTTCCGGGCAATTATTTTAGTGTGTACAATTTTCGTTGCAAAATTCGTGGGAAATTTCCCACGAATTTTGCAACGAAAACCCTACTTGTTCCTTATTTTCGCGCTCGTTATTCCCACAACTTTCAATTTCCACATTCACTCTCTCTCTCTCTCCTTCGCCTTCACCTTCTCCCTCCGTCTCCCCCTTCGCCTCCCCCGCCGCCCCCCCTCCTCCTCCGGCTCCGGCGCC